CTTACAAAAAAGTGATATTCACGAATATGACATACCTCTCAAAATTCTTGATAACATTTAACTAAGAAATTTCTGAGGAATAATAGTATAAGAAAATATTAGATTCTTATATATTATAATCTTAATGAAAATGTTTAATATAACTGATAAAGATGGTTGTTACGACATCCACGTGCTAGATGAACATATTAAGAAAAATTTTCACACAATAATAACTTAATACCTTATATTTTTTTGTGATCCAGTTCCCCGGTAACAGTTATATATATATATATATTTTTAGGTCGTGAATCCATCCGAAATAGACATTAAAGTTGTCATGCATTTTTTTTTTAGTGACTATTAGTAGTCTTTGATAAAATTTACAATGCTTAACAATTAAATGTTAATAAGTTTGCAATTAGATTAAATTTTGTCTTTTTCTTTTTTGATTCCCATGAGCCCCATATTTCAATATCTCAAATTAATCATATTTTATGGAACTCTTTTAATAAGTACTTTTATCTTATTATAATTATTCGAGTCCTGAACGTTAAACGAGTCTGAATATTAAAGCAGATATGCAAATAATTAACTGTTAGGATGTAAAAAATTACGTACGTACGTACTGTACTCGTTAAATGAGTTCGCTGAGGTGACTAACTATAATGTCAAAAAAATAAAAATAAAAATAAATAAAATAAAATAAAATTATCAATCCAACTAATTTGAAAATAGCGACAAGTTCTTTTTATTATACTCCCCTATCCTAAATTAATCCCCAATAAGCTTGTTAAAAGTTATCGATTAATAAATTAACAATATTGTAGTTTATTCCCATAAAATTGGAAAATAAGTACTGTCCTCTCTACCCTATTTTATTCAATCTCAAATTATGGGAATAGGTTATTTTTAGGGATTGCAAAAAAAAAAAAAAAAAAAAAAGAGTTTTTTGAATGATTTTTGATTTTTTTTTAAAAAAAATTGGTTTAATTTAAATGTTTTAATTGCTGATTCACATAAGAAGAAATGTAGAAAAAACTTTTTATATATAATATAAAAAAATTATTAAAAAAATTGGTTTAGTAGATAAAAAGATATTTATATTTTATTTTTGGTAACTATATAAAATTTTTATAAGTGTAGAGGAAAAAAAGATTTCATTCATATATAAAAAACATAGTAAATTATACTTTCATAATTTATAAAATCCTATCCTTCTTATGTGAATTAGCAATTAAATTTTTAAAATATCGATGATTATGGAGCTAGATGGTTAAAGCTGAAATTACCGCATGTAATTAATTATTTCAACTTTAACATCTGTTGTAACTTTTTATTCCTTGGTAGAAGTATGCTAATTCAATTTTTATCAGTTTGTAAGTGATACAAAAACATGATATTAATATCAGTGATAATATTTTAAACCAAAAAAAAAAAAAAAAAAATCATTTTAAAGCAATATAATATATAAAATTGATTTTAAAAGTTGTGTTTTAAATCACTTGCCACCCTAGTTTGTAAGTTGATTTCCCGATAATCTGAGATTTAAAAAATAGGATAGAGGGGATGGTGCTTATTTTCCGAATTTTACTGTAATTAAAAAAATAGATCACTAAATTAATAGTAGATTAAAAATTAATAACAATAGATCACAGTATATTTAGTGATCTTTATTATAAATTTAAACAAGGTTCAGATTTTATAATAAAGTCATTAATCATAGCAGCATTTTAAGCATTTAAGCAAATGCCAAAAAACTACTATTAACTAATGTTGTATTAAGTTGAATACCTTAATTTATTATTTGCCGTTAAATTACTAATCTCTGACTATATATGCGTCACCGTACATCGCGAACCATGCAAAGTACAGAAAATTTGCAAAAAAGGATTACTGTATCAAATGCTTGAGAAAATAAGACAACTAATTCTTATTCATTGAGGTTTATGGAGCAAATTGTCAAATCTGCCAGAATATAACCTACATAAAAAAAAATTTTTTAATATGAAAAGTCGCCAATAGGTACTACTTGTATTTTTTTTTTTTAAAAAAAAAAAAAAAAAAAAAAAAAAATGAAATGCAGTGTGTGACGCTAATGAATGTGAAACATGTTTCGAGACGAACTTAATTTATGATAAATAGCATGATAAATGCAATGAGAAAATCAACGGGATATTAGATTTGTATATGAAATATTGGCTATTCATTACTTATATTATCTCTATTAGACATAATATAAACAATGTAGTTGAAAAATTATCGGGATCCAATCTAATCTGGATGATTTTTTTTTTTTTTTTGTATTTTTTAAATCGAATAATACTAAATTACTAAATCTAATCGTTAGATTCTTGATAATTTCGGCCGCAAAAATTGTAAAAAAAGGGGTGTTATAATTACTCGTATATTGAATTTCCTAATTCGTAATTATAAGTGAAAATCCGAGACTTGACCATCTTTAGCTATATGTACTATTGTACTATGTACAATATATACATATCTGATATACAGTATACCATTAATGTTTAGCTGCTCGAACTAAGCCTCTGTATAGTAATTATACTAAAATCGACCCTTTTTCTATGTATTTGCAAGTTTCCGTAAGTATAATATGCTTGTAGAAAGAGTTATCATCAACGGACTAGAATAAATCCTAAAAATATCTTCCACGATATGTATTTAAGTATAAATTAATGTTAAATTTTAATGTACTTAATGTACTATTTTGTTTGTATAGGAAAAAATAATTTTCGGCATCTTAAATTTAAGGTAGGTTAACACTTCATGTATATATATATTTTGCATGAAATAAAGTTACCCGTGTAACTTGAAGTGCAGACAAATGAAATAAGTTATCGTTATCGTTATGTAAATCATTCGATATCACGTGAATATCTGATATAAACAAGAGTACTTACTCACTAGTACTCACTACTTACTTGAGTAAAGATATATTTAAATATTTAAAATGAGTATTCGAATCTGAATATTTATACTTTGTAGATAACAAATAATATCGATGAGTATATAGTATACAAATAACAAATCTAGGCACATCGTGATTATATGCTAGCCAAAGCCAAGGAAAATAAGAAATACAATCACATACTGCGCCAAGAATATTTTCACGTTCTAATCGTGGAAAATTTCTATATCATAAGAGCATACAATTTGATCTCACTTTTTCATTGTGAGTATGAAGAAATTCCTTAATGCATGAACATGAGCCAGTACCCGAATTTAAGAAATTAATTATATTATTTTAAAATAAAGCTACAATTGTATTTATTTAAATATTATTTATTTTATTTGTTTACAATATTTAATTTTATTACATATAAAAAATATGTATCGGAACTTACGCGATTGATTAATGCACTATAATAAATATAAAATCATCGTATAGGTTTAATAAATAAAAAAAAAAATTATCATATAAATTTTTGTGTGCTTTTTTCATTATTCATCATCAAACTTTACACGTATAAAAACAGATAAATGTTTATTTACACATGAAATTTTTTTAAACACAAAGAAAATTCTGTAACCTATGTAAGGATTAGTCTTCAATGATCTACATTATCCAAGTTTTTTTCTTGTTTGCCTTACGAACACGAATGACCAAAATTCATTCTTTGATGGGTGGAATAAAATTTTTGTCGGAAATGTTTTGCATTTTATTTAACCAATCGTAAATCTTTCAAATAAACATATGTTGGCATGTACAAAATATTGTGTGTACAAATTTATAAAAATAGTTTAAAAAAATTTTTTTTCACAAAAATAAATATGTGACATTCAACGATGTGATGGATACTTTCTTTGTTTCTTTCTTTTTTGCATGAGACACTAATAAATTTATTTAATACGCGCACTAATTCTCCTAACTTCAACTTATTTGGCCATTTTAATAGGAATTCCTAATCAAGGAGAGTTAGTTACAATTCATTTGAAAATAATTCTTTGAAATTTTGTTTGATCTACCATTTTATACCTTATACTTTCGAAAACATAATATTTTAAAAAGCTTTATATTTTTTTTTTTTATTTGTATCCCGAAAATAGCAATATAAAATTGCTAAACTTTAATCTAATGACGTCATTCGAGGTTGCATCAGTCATGTGGATAAATATGTAGATTGAAGATCAATCTACAAAAAAAGAAGACAAATCTTCTCCAAATCGATTAATTTTAAATGATTTCTCAAAAGTGTCTCAGAAGAAAAGTAGATCAATAATAAAATACAATACATTAGTACGCTTAACTAACTGATTTTAAATTACACCAAATATATCGGGATTGGAATAAATAACATCCAGAAACCCACATTTGCATAGATCAAATGCAAAAGATTATTTTGATCATCACATCGAATTCAAATTTTACAGATTTTGGAAATTCTAAGAAGATAACTGTTTGGTAATTTACAATAATGTGAATAATATAATGTATATATGCACATAGTCCCGTTATTTGGATTGTTTATAATTTTAATTTGTCTTATTTTAAATATATGACCCTATTTTAATAAGATAAACCATTGTTTCACATAATATTTTAATATAATAACTTCATAGAATAATAATTGTTAGTAATATCTTCGAACAATTTGTAAGCTAACACGGTACATAACAAATAGTAACATCTCAAGTCCTCTTTCTATACCCCCTAAATTAAAATTAATTAATAAAATTATTATAATACAGTAGAGTGTAAAAATAAAGTACACCATTTTGTTGAGTTATCCAATTAAATTATAGCACTGTATTACTATTTTTGATACAATATTTGTTCCCCAGTGACAAATAAGAGGTGTTTATCAACATATCGCATATCAATTTTTTTAAATAGAATAATGACACATAAAGAAAAAAAAAATTTTTTTTTTTTATTTTTAAATTTGTCGTTAATACTCTTTGAGTTTTTCGTTGACACGTTTTTTTTTTTTTTTTAAAAAAAAATTTTATTTCATGTTGATGATCATATACAGTAAGAATTTAATAAACTTTTCCTTAAAATGTCCCGAAAACTTGTCGACAAAATGATTTCCTTTAAACAAGAACCATGCATTCCAGTTCTCAACAATGTAACATTTAATCTTTCCACTCTACCACCCAGGCTTCCTTTTCCACCAAACTTTAATGTTGCAACTGATATTGTTAGCAAAAGAAAACCTTCACAAATAAATTTAAAAGCTCCAAATGCTTTTTTAATATATCGAAAGGTTTTTTTGGACTATCTTTGCACCAATAATCCCAGCCTTAAAATGACAGATGTTTCAAAATTAGTTAGTATCTATTGGAAAAGTGAGCCAGAATTAGTTAAATCTTTTTATAAAGATGTTTCTCATCAAGTTGAGAGTAAGTTGAATGAAAAACGAAAAGCAAATGTATCATTTTGTCGAGTTATTTGGAAAAATTCAAAGTTATCAGGACTTTCTAAACAGAAGCGTAAAGTTACAAGAAAAAAGAGACAATTTAATTTTAGTACTAAAATTTCCTCTGCAAATTCTTCGAGAAGTAATATCTTTTATGAATTTGTTAATGTTACTCCAGAAACTATTCTTGCTTCTAAACCAAGTACGACGAAAATTGATAACTCTTCGCTCTCTACGAACAATTTGGTGGGAGATAAATCACATGTAATTAATAATAATAACAATAATCACGTCACGTACTCACGTGATAGTGAGATTCACGGAACTGAACAGCTAGACATGAGTTCTGTATTAGAAGACACGGTTACGGACAATGAAAATTGCCTTTTACTAAATGATTACTACAATAATCCAGAAATTATTCACAATGAAGAACTCACTCATTATAATTATATTCAAAATTTATATTTGTCGCAAAATGTTTTAGACCTTAATTGTGATAGATTGGACTATAATTTGCAAGATTTTTCTGAATTAGAATCAGAAATGACATCAGCTACAAATTTTAATATTTGATCTGATATTATTTTTACATCTTTTTTTTTTTTCTTACAAACTTTTTTTATTTGAGTATATATTCTAATTCGCGTATTCTTTTGGCATGTTGGCAATTTCTTTTTAAAAAGGCGGATTAGTAATCTATGCTTACGGCATGTATAAATCAAACTACAATTATATAGAGTCCTACTTTGTGAACCAAATAGATGTTATTTTCAAACTAGAACTTTTAAATATGACGCATTTTTTTTTTTTTTTTTGTTTGTTAAGCTTCTTCCCCATATGATTTTTCCATAAAGTTATTAATATAATTTTAAAATATTATGCATTTTTTTTAAAAATTTAAAAATTTACAAATGTTAAATTCCGTTTGTTTATTCAATATTATTTTTTAAAAAGATTTAAAAGGATTTTAAGGGATCTTAGTAAGTTATTCATACGTTTTTTTTTTTTTTTTTTTTTTGTTTTTAATCTAATTCTATGAATCGTTTTTCATGAGATACCAATCTTTTTTAATTAGGATAAATTAAATTCAACAAAAAGAAATATCAAAAGAAAAAAAAAAACGTATAATTCAAAATATACTAGTAAGTTCAAAACTAATCGTAACGAAATAATTCAATATAATTAGCAATATTGAGATGACTATGTGAACTATGATTGGCTAATTTTCATTCATGTCATATCGCTCACTCCCGGTATGACATTGATTATTGTACGGGGTTAATATTGAATATTGACTTAAAAAGGTAATATAAGCGGGGTTCATATCAAATATTAACTTAAAAAGTAAGTTAAAAGGAGAAAGAAAATTAACCGAGGTTAAAAATATTAGGTGTTTTTAAAGATATTAATAAGATATGTAATACTTTATATAAGGGGCTGTCACGCGTTAATTCATTAACACATAAACATTACACCGTTTTACTACAATTTACATCCACACTCATCGATATGACGTTCTCGACTGCAAATAAGATAACTTTTCGTAGTATTGATTTTTTTTTTTAATGGTTTCGTATTACAATTAGATAATGCAAGCAAAAGATGGCATTTCATTGATAAAAAATTTAAAACCAACACTTTTTGGTTATACTATATAGTATTAATTAATTGCTTGCTACAAGATTAACTAATACAAAGCAACTCCCTGTTCTGGACCGGAATTTACGAATTTGTCCCAAGATCTCTCAAAGTTTTTTACTAATGAAAGTATACGTAGCACACATTAAGTAAAAATTCCTGCTTTGTTCATTGGTTAATGTGTGCCAGCAGGCCATGCTTCCTATGCATTCCGACACGGAATTTAGGAATTGCCCTTATTTAGTAGACTCGGTTAAAAATCGGCTGAATTCGTCACTAATTCGATTTTATTCGACTAATAAATCCGACTTCAATCACAGATTGCTAGAAAAAAAATCGACAGTTTTTTTAGTCGTACGACCTTTATCCTTATCCCAAGAAACAAAAGCAAAAAATTATATATTTTACATAAATTTATCTTCTTTTCTTTGCTTGTTTATTATTTTCATATCGTGCAGTGTATTTACATCTCTTTGCTTGTGGTGCCGAACATTCTTGTTTCTAACTTCTAAGAATGTCGTTTTTATCATTTTATATAATTTGTTTTTTTTTTCCTTGTCTAATGGATTGTTTTAAGGAATATGTAGTTTACTCTGTACTGAATCATTTTTATTTTTATTGAGCAAAGTTTGCAAGATTATATTTACATATTTCAAAAGAAAGTGTACACTATAATAAACTTAGAGCTTTTAGTATGATTTTCTATATACCACCTTAATTATTCCCAAATTCTATTATAAACTCTTCGAAGAAACTTTAATAAAAACCCTAACTCTCTATATCGAATGAAGTAATATCTCCATTTCCTGTCCACACTGAAACTGGTTATAATTTTATTAGAAAAAAACACTTGATAGTTGAAATGTTGTTAAAATGTAGATAAATTCTATTTGAGTAACGCCAAGGGAAAACCAGACTTCAGACTTATAAATTTTATAGAACTGAAATCTGGATTTTCCCTTGGCATCACTCATTTACAGTAGATCAGAAATCTGGGTTTTCCCTTGGCATCACTCATTTACAGTAGATCAACTTGGCTTGGTTGGAAATTTGGTGGTTCACAGGTATGTTATACACGTATATGTTTCCTTTTTAATCTTACTAATATTAAGTTACATCTTTTCAACCATTTGTAGAGCCTATATGTCTAATGTCGATATTGTTTGTCCTGAAGTTTCTATTGTTCTTAGTAACAAGTGCTATATATTGTAGATGACTTGTTGGGATATGCGATATCATAGATTTACAAATTCTAATTAAGGTTATCTGTATATTAGATTGTAACTTCAAATCTATACTACTTCTGATCCAGTGTGTCTATAAAAATAAAATAATAAATTTTGGATTCCTCGTAGCATGCTCTATAATGACTCTGAGTCTTTTTTTTTTTTTTAACTTTATTAATGATTAGCTACTAAGAATTAAGAAATATTTAAAAATGTCTTTAAATTGTTATAGAGTATATTACGAGAAATTTGAAAATTATAATTTATTTTTGTAGACATAATGGTTCAGAAGTGTATAGTATCGGTATGGATTTGAAGTTACCATCTGAATGATGATTGGCAAAAAAAAAAAAAAAAACCCCCCGTATATACAGATTTATCATAGTAACCTTATTAATTAAATTTGTAAATCTTTTATCAGTATGATATCGCACACCCCAATGACTTGTGTATTTTGCACTATTGGTTTTTAATTTTTGTAAACGGAACTCTTTATTAATTAATAGACAACTAACATTTCCGTTAGATGTCCAAATTTTGTCGTAAAATTATATTCAATTAGCAATTCACTTCAGTATGTTTATGGGAAAATGTTGACGCAGGAGTAGAAAAAGTCAACTAATTGATGATCATCGGTATTTATCGTTATTTGTTAATTTCTATGTTATTAACTATATTTTTATGCTTATCTAGGAAGGGTGATCAAATTGCAAATCCACTTCCACTGTTAGCGGCGGAACTGGAGAGATAAGTAAATGGGCACAATATTCACAACAAGAAGATAAAAACAACAACAAGAGGCTACTAGATTGAAGGTACTATTTTGGGCGAGATTACTAATATTGAACTTGTGATAAAACTTATTTAATTCAATGCTCCGCAAAATCAATTCAAATCAAGTATTTGATTTGACTTGATTAAATTGAAGATATCTCAACATTACTTAACAAATTTAATAATTTTATTTTAATTATTTTATTTGAATTCTACAAATGTGTAGAATTCAAATAATAAAAAATTTATTAAAATAGTTTAAGTCCGTTGTCGAGATATTTTCAATTAAAGATTTGTCAAACATTTTGTACAAAGCTTAGAAGGGGCTTAAAAAATTGAAAGTTCAAATATTAGGCCATACAAACCAATTTTTTTGATTTTCATAATTTAAAATTTTTAAATAGACCCGGCAACCCGGCTTTTTTTTTTCAAAATTTATATATCAAATCGTATAAAAATTTTTTTAAAAAAAACCTACCCGGTTATTATAACATATAAAAAAAAGTTTCAAAAGTTTAAAAATTTAGACCCGGCCGGGTTATGTAAATTTTTGTATGGCTTCAAGTTAAATCAAGTTCGAATTTTACATGTCTACAATTTGTTCCATCTCTTTCTATCTAAACATAATGCACAAGAAATTCCTGAGGCTTTTGGGCTTGGCAAAGGGAAGTATTTAATTAAGTTGCTATTTTTTTTTTAATTTTTCTTGTGAATACGAGTTACCATTTTTAGTATTATTGTTAATTACGCGCGACAATGGATTTCAATTACTTTCTTAATTAGGTTTAGTGCCTCCGGAAAATCAGTCTTCGAAATAATGGGTTATCACATGTCAACTGGGATTTAATGTCACGCCATCACTATCCACAGGAGGATCAATACCTATCGCTATATGTTCTTAACGTTAATGGATTTGTAATGATTTTGCCCTTTAGGTTTTCGTTCATACCTACGTAGATAGAAATAAAATAAGTATATATTCCGAATTGTTCAATTTAGTGAACTTGTTGAATTTGACCTTTATTTAAATTCTAGGTTTAGGGTTTAAATGCAAGATCCAATTTTACAAATTTGTGTTCTCATCAAATGCGCCAATTTTTTTATATTTGATTAATGCGCCAAATTTTATATTAATTTTTATGTAGATCTCTAAAAAAAGCGCCAATTTTTTATAGGTCATTTGATGAGATGGTGCATTCATATACAGAATAATATAATGGTAATTAAATCAGGAAAAAATTTGGATCATGTATTTTAGATAAGATCATATTTTACTTTGAAATCTATCGCTATAAATTATTAATAAAATAACCTTTTATTATTAATTGTCATTTTGTATTGATTGCTAATTTGTATGTTTGGGGAGTGGTTATAGAGATTACGTGTACTAATTTCTTTTGTCCAGCTGAAAAATTTTCAGTAGATCTCTATTTTCATTACTAATTAGTTTGGATGAGTATCTGGTATATTAGGAGAATAAATTTATTGTTACCATACTCAATTACGTATTAATTATGTTTCTTTCTAGCCTTTCCTTTACAGTGACCGTTATTTGCAA